TGAAACCGGAGTACCGGAAAAAAAAACTCATGCATATGATGGGAAAACACTCTAAAGTTCTGCACTGATAGATTCAAAAATCTGTTGCTCGACTGCCATCTCCCGGCTCCCGGGCATGCACTTCACAGCCCAGGTCCAGAACACCTGGTGTTCTCAAGCAGGCTCTCATCCAAGCACTAACCAGGCTCAAACCTGCTTAGCTTCCGAGACCTGATGAGATCAGCTGAGATGGTCATGGGTGTGACTTCCAGCCAAGGCGTGGGTTTGTACTACTAAGAAGTTGATGCAGTAAATCGGAAGCATGCGTTAATAACATTAAACAGCTGCATTGGGATGTTCTGCCAAGTACAGCACCAGGGAGATTTCTAATGAGTGGCAGTGGGCAGTGGGGAAACAAAAATCCATCATCTTCTATGCTCCCACACCTATGCTCCAAAATTTTCACCGACCCACAGAGACCATGTGGCGAAGTCTGGTCAAATAACCCCCCTGCAGGGCGTGGGTAGACCCTCATCCAGCAGTGGATAGGCAAATGGCTGTACAGTAACATTAAGCGAATGTAGAAATAATGCAGCTAGTCTCGTGACGTATATTTTATTTGTTCCAAAGTACAAATAATGTAAACACAGAGCTGGTCTAAGTGTAGCACTGCGAGTCCATTTGTTTTAATTAAGCATCTCTTTGCCCACGGCTGAAACCGCCGAGTAAAATGCGTGAAGTATACAACACAAATTAGGTTGAAGTTGGAATACACGACTTGATATAATTTCAAATGAAGCAATGACTGACAATCCAGCACTTCCTGATTCACTCCACTCAATGACCCACCTGAGGTCCATCACCTCCCTATCACTCTCCTTTTGCTACTACCAAGGTTATTTCTTCCATGAGCATCACTCATTGATCCCTCCACCCACGTTGAGAGCTCCTACCTACCAGACTGTTTTGTCTGATCCACGTGGTGTTCGACCACCACCATCAACGCTGCAGGTCACAACGATCCTCTTTCTGCATCTTCCCTCGCACTGCTCCACTTTGGAATCCCCTCCCATCGTCCAAAAGCTCTTTGAACCCCGCTCCTTTCAGGAAACATGTTAACCCTTATCTGTTATTATACACTGTGCTTAAATAGGGCAACAATAAAATAATAAAATATATATATAAAACAACAATATACTTTATTATTTTATTGTTTCCCTTCAACGTGACTTTACCGAAAGAACCAAGAATATTCATCACTGCAGTCACGAAAGCTTTAAATCAAAATTTAAATAGGGCTGTATGTTGATGACCACTTGGAATTTTGGGGCTTTGCTCAACAACCGTACCAAAACAATTATTTGGAATAAGCAGTTATTTCCCATTCCTACCATGAGAATAACCATTCTGCTGAAACGCACTCTCATGTGGAGGAGAAAAACAACACCTGACTCACAACCACAAGAATCAGGAATTCTGAATAAATCAAGCGAGAGTATTAAATTAGATGCATGGTCACACCATACCACACTTGAAATGCCTTCATGGTCTTTCGTGACTATTTGAATGTGTGCGCAAATGCTTGAATCATAGCTGTCTGTGTGCCTTGTGTCCACGTGGCGTGGTGGGGTTAGTGATGCGCGACGAACCATCTGAATTCGATTCCCGGCCACGGATAACCACACATCAGTTGCGACCGAAATGAGTACCTGTAAACAACAGCACTAGGGAGACAAAGGCGGTCGTTTTTCTGTCTGAATTGCCCACCTGTGCGCTGAGCCAACCTTCACAGGTCTTCACCAAAATTTGGATTTGGGATTTTTAGGGACAATTAGGGTTTTTATTTTTTTATTTGTCGGATTAATCTGAATATCAGGAACACATCCCAAATTTTGGGTTGTGGGCATTAGGCATGTTATGATGCATTAATTGATCATTTAACATAGTATGTTATGATCTCGTATATTCATTGAATCAAGCATGCTAATGTTGATTACCTACAATATATGCCAATTATATGCTGAATGTATCCTCATGTGTCAAATTAGGCAATCGGAGCATACACAACCGTGCAAACACATACGAGATAATAAAAATTTTACTATTAAAGGAATGAATGGCTGCAGTCCAGTCGTGGGCATGAATTATTACAAGCTTCGTGGGTTACTGTCACATTTTGCACAAGTTATATTTCACGTAACTTGGCTTTCGGAGTTTTCCCCACCATAGTCTGAAACGGGCGGGGCAGGTATGAAGATGCCAGAATTACTCGTGGAACTAAGGTGGCGGGCAGCGATGGTCTTGCGAACGCTATTTGGCGAAAGTGCAACGCCATTTCCGCGTGACACACAGCGCACGTGTTAAACCGCTGCCTTCCACCCAACCGAGTCATCTCCGCCATAACCGCACGCAATAAAGCGAAGCAAAAGCTGTCACACCGTGGCTGTAATGCATGCGGCAGGTGCACTACCAGACCTGCATCCTCTGTGTAGTGCCACCCATGAGTACACCCTCTATATTACACGTACGCACGCTTCATTCGCATGCAGTTTATAAAGCATATTAACCCTTTCCCGTTCCGATGATGTACGTGTACGTCATCAGTTTTTCTTCCAATTCCATTCTGAAAATGTATGGAACCGGAAGAAAAACTAAGATAAAATAAATCTTGACTTAAAAGCTTTCGTGACTGCAGGAATTCATATTCTTTGGGTATTTCGGTAAAGCCACGTAGATAGAAAAAATAATAAACATATCACGGCGTTTCGATCGCAACGCAAGCAATCTTCATCTACGTGTCTTTAACCTACCTACCTGGCTTTACCGAAAAACCCAAAGAATATAAGATAAAATAACTTTATCGGTAGCGAGGTTCCCACAAGGCCATGCAGGAGGGCGTGTGGCACAGTTTGGTGCCAGTTATCATCAAGTATGGTCGCGTCGCTACGATTCTCATTGGTGAGTTCAATGTCTTTAAAAACAACGGCGCTACGCCTCTCTAAATAAAATTAACGCTGAACGGTTGCATGCTCTAAGATTCAGCGGTGAACGGGACCCACCCGGCAACTTGCAGTCGCCTCGGAACGGGAAAGGGTGAATGCGCATCCCCGATCACCAGTCTTCTTCCTGAGATTACCCCCACTCACATGGGGGTCTGCTTCCTCGCTCCTCTTTCTCCACAACATTCCTGTCCTGGGCCAATTCTCCACATCCACGCGACTGTCCTTCATCATCTGACTCACCGCTGCGTGGCACCTCTGTCTGGGCCTGCCTCTCGGACTCCCCGCAGGATTATTTAATTTAGTTTCAGTGCAAATGACCACATCATCCAAGTCCTAAAAACATGAGCCATTGCCCAAACGACACCTGTTATATATGCGTGTGTGTAGACAAATATATATATACGAATGATGTATCCATAATAGATGTTTTTAGGGTTAGATCACGGTCTAACCCAAAAAAAAACCTCTATTATGGATGATATTGGTCGCGAAAGCTTACGTGTTAAACTATTTTTGTATGTTGAACTTATTTTGCACCGTATGTAGCCAACTGTGCCTGCCATATGTATATATTTGACAGGCATGTAATTGACGATTGTGTCGGGTTTTGCAATATTTGTGCTTTATGCACAACCGCCAATGCATTATCACAAAACAATGTTAAACGTGTGCGTTATGAGCCCCCGCAAATTGCAACGATTAGAAGAGGCATTCCCGCAAGCTTTTAGTTGAGCGACCTGCAGTTGACAAACTTCGAAGTAACATTTATTGCAGTGGAAGGGCAGCAAAGCACAAAAAACGAGGACGATAAAAATGTTACGTGAATACCAATAGTGCAATGATCCTCTAAGCACGCAATCAAATATCGTATCATACCATCACAGTATATCGCAGCAGCCAGAGTAGCCATTCGTTGGCTGCAGCTATGGCTCATAGTGCTGCTAGGGACAAGAGGGAACAAGCTGAGCACTGGCAAATTTTAAATGAGCCACTAAATACTCACCTTGTGAGAGCTTAGTGGTCACATCAGTTGTCAGTCAATGTGCATGGGTCAAAGTAATCAAGCCGAGCGACTGTCAAAATGACTCTTTGTGGCATTAAAATGCCATAATTTGGTTTGGGTGGATGGGTGCCAAGAGTGAAATGGATTCTTAAAAAGTGGGATTTCAACACGTTAAAAGGTAATTCCAAAATGTGCCATTTGGTTGCTATCCAACTATAGAAAGAGGCACAGAATATTAAATTACCAGAGAAGAGGCATAAAATATACAAGTATACAGAGGAAGAAAATCAAAACAGCTAACCCTACGCATGAGTGAGACAAATTTCGATTTAAAGCTTTCGTGACTGCAATGATTCATCTTCTTTGGTTCTTTCGGTAAAGTCACGTAGAATGAGAATAAAATAATAAATTGATAAAATAAAATAACACCTGATGAAGGCCGCTTGTGTTGTGGCCGAAACGTCGTGAGAATATTATTGTGTTATTTTATTTTATCAATTTATTATTTTATTCTCATTCTACGTGACTTTACCGAAAGAACCAAAGAAGATGAGTGAGACATTTGGTTTCAGAATATGCTTTATCCTGGAGAAATCCGATGAGCGATAAAGCTCTTTTTCACAGGTGTCCAGGCTAAGATGAAGAAGAGATTGCAAGTTATAGAGGAGCACCGTACCTGGAATGGGCTTTTTTTAATAAACTTATTTGATTATACTTGGTGACCGTGACGATGGAATCACATGAACAAGTGTAACATAACCACAATAATTTTACTCAACTTCCCACAAGGCGGCAATTGCCCCTCCCCCCCTGCAATTCACCGATGAACGAACATCGACACGGAATTGCAAATTAAAATGGCAACCGCAACAGGAATGCGATTAAAAATATATATTTTAAATGAATAATTTGCACTTGTGATAGGACTGTGTGACAACCAGCCACATCCTGCTGTGTCTGCTTCGTCTGAGTGGTCCATGAAAACCAGATAAGGATGAAACGTGGAGGTGACTCACCCAGTGCCCCTGTGTAGGTTGGCTGAGTCAGATCCTTTGGAACCTTACGGTAAATGTCCAACCTAAAAGAGAGTGGGGGTGAGAATGGATTTGTAATCGAAATACAAAACAACGATAGCACTAAACACGCTTATGTGTTACCGTGTTCTCCAGATTATAAAACACGTTCTTCCTGGATATTGCATGTTGATCTTCTTTCGCACCGTACGTAGCCAACCGTGCTCATCGGAGGTGTGGGGGAAGGACAAAAGCAAACGTGCGAAATATTTATTGCCACCAAGTCCACGTCCATCAGTAGTAGCACATGTGTGACCAGATTTTAATAACTTTGGTAGCAACAAGTAAAGTCAACAACTGTATTGCCACTACACAGTCTTCTCCTATTGCCATATTCTCTAGATTACAAAAAGCTTTTTTTTTACAAGCGTCCACCCCTATCTATTTTATTACTTTCTATTTTACAACTTTGTTGAAAACTTTGCCGGAACGTCGTATTTTCGAGTTTTTGTTTTAAATGAATTTGAAGTTTGGGATCCACATTTTTTCCTGGAGAATCTTATCATTCGGAGGGTACGGTATTTTGTGATAAATGGGAGAGTCGGTGCGATTTTCATCGCAGAAAATGAACCCCTTCTCATTACGTGTCCAAGGAATTAAGTTCATTAACTGGCCACCTGTTGTGCTGGCCCATTTATGCGCGGTGCAAAGTGCGTTAATGATATCAACGCAATCAGAGCAGACGTGCACAGCCAGGGAAGCACAGTTTGTTTTTTTTCGCGAGCGTGGAAATGTCACGTTAGCAGTCACAACACATTGCACGCGAGCAAGGTCATTTCCCGAACGTGTTTACCAAAAACACAAGAAACCGACCCCCAACCGAACGCACAGTTAGGACCGTTGCCAAACGTGAGTTGTGCCATGACACAGGATGAAATCACGCCAGCAACCATCACCACTGGACACACCAGACGGACTAAAGTACGATGTGACAAACGAATGTTGTTTTCTTTTATAGAGATCCCCAATTAATTGCATTCGTCATACTTCTAACGGCAAAAACAGAATGCCAACTACCAATTAAGGGGTTATTTTTAACACTCCATCGAGCTATGTATTTATTCTCTTACCCAACTTTCGCCTGATGACCAAATCACCTGGAATGCGCCTGATCGCGTGAGACCTCGGAAGCAAAGCAGGGCCGAGTCTGGATAGCACTTGGATGGCCATCCACCACGCTTAACATTATTATAGGCTGCTGTGGAGCTCCATGTGGAGCGGTAGAAGGCAGTGGAGCAAAATCCATTGCTTACTGTATTTGTATGCTCCCAATTCTAAATTTATGCTTTTAACTGACCAGCACTGACCAGCGTGAAGTATGGGCAAATAACCCCCTCAACAAAACCCACACGTCATGGGTAGGCCCTCATCCAGCAGTGGATTGACAAGTGGTTGTACAGGTACATGCGTACTATATTGTGTTTTCCATTAAGAGACGTGGACAACATGGCTAATTGTTCAATGGGACACCTTCACGTGGCCATATCGCAAGATAAAACAAATAAATTCATCGTTAAATTTACAAAGCGCGCAAATTGCACTTCAAACGGACAGGGGAGCGGCGGGAGAATGAATTGGAGAGAAAAGTCTTCAGATTTCCGACACGAGTGGTGGCACTGATGCCGATGTGCGGCGCCGATGTACCGGGCGGTGAGAGGAGGGAGTGAATTCCAGGCGACCAGAGTGGCAACAGAGAAGCGACGACGTTGCCTCGTCTGGTCGCGAGAGACGAGGCTTAAGGAGGTCACTTGAGGCAGATCGGAGGTCGCGAGATGGTGCGTACAACAATCATGGTGCGAGAAGAAGAAGAAGAAAAAAAACCCTTGGCGTCAATATACGGTAAAGTTATTTCCGTTTTATTTTCACGTTTGACATTTTATGAGGAAGAATGGTTATCTAAAAAGTCACGGGTACAATATATCAGGAGCAGAGAAGATGGGATTTAATTTTGGCCACCGTAAAAGTTATTTACAGTTTTCTGAAAGGAGTATTTTTCACCGCCTTATTGAACATAAATCAGTAAATGGCACATGGCACCATGGCATCAACAGAAGCGCGCTGCACTCGAGATGTCGCATCTTGGCTGGGCATCCATGCTAAATATTTTAAATCAATAAATCACAAACTAAATAAATCAAATCCCAAACAATGAATGCTGTGCCCTCTCATTTCTCAGTCCTCTGGCACTGTCAGTCTCCATATAATAAAAGCAAGTTGTCTTGTGCGTGTTTGCACAAGACGAATGTATAAATGAGCAATTATTATACTAGTTGTGTGCCGGAGCGCTAGCAGGGTTGGCTACGTATGGTGCGAAAGAAGTTCAACATACATACCCGCAGTGTTTATTTTATACATTAAACAACGCAAATACAGAAACACAGAACCAGGATACAAAGGGTCGCTTGTGTCCGGTATTGACGAATGAACGTAAAAACCGTGGCACATTGGTTAGCACACTGCGCTATAAACCTTGCTACCAGACTTCGTTCCCTGTCATGGCTAGCACAAGTGGCGAGCGATATCTGATCCGGTCCTGGACCCCCACTTCACCAACCTGCACTGATCAGCGTGGTGAAGTATGGTCAGAAAACCCCCATGGTGCACACGGCAAGTGGAGGCCTTCACATTGCAGTAGATTGACAAGGGGCCGTTACATAATGTATTCACTATTATTTAATGATGGTGGCATGTAAACTAACAATTTAAACTACTATTTTGTTTTATTTTTACGAACTAAGGCCCACTGAGCTATATTTTTGTAGTTATTTTTTCAGAAGCAACCTGGCCACAAATGATAGCTCAACAAAGTGGCTTATCACGTGAAAATTTCTAGCAGCCAAATACTGCAGGACATGCATGGAAATGTACCTCTTGCCATGTTGTATTCCTATACATGCACGAAAATTTTGATCTCATGGTTACTTTTTTATGTGTTGGCTATAATGTGATGCCAGGGGCGACGCTTTGTGTAAACATGCCCGGCTTGTTTAATAAAAGCAAGTGGTTATCCTGAATTATGAGACCATACTAATAAAAAAAATATTGCTCTCCGGAATGTTTTTGGGCTGTACCGCGTATTGTTCGGCACGATGTCTGACGTTTTGCTCTATGAGCTGGGAGCTTCTTCAGGAACTGCACGGAGCAGCTCACATTTCTCCAGCAACTATAAAGTTGCTGGTTGCTGCTGGTGTTTGCTAGCTGCTGCAGATGGTATTTAGCTATTTATTCGCTTATTTATATGCAGCCTTTTGTCAACCCATTGGTGGATAAAATAATGTAGGCACCATGTCAATCATGGGAGTTGTTTGATCATACCTCACCAAGCTGGTCAGTGCAGAATGATGTTTGGTGCCAGGACTAGTTCAAATATCACTTGCCACTGACTGATGTTAGCTGTGGCCAGGAATCCAACTCAGGTTGCCAAGTTCATTGCACATTTCGCAACCCACTGTGCACCCATTGCTCCAGCCGAAGGTGTTAAATTTGCAAAGAGAGAAAACCATCTTCGTTAAAAAAAATTACATTTGCTGGGGGTTGCATTCACCGTTTAATTTATACAGAAGCTACATTTGTATGCAAGTGATAAAGAGAAACCCTTTAATCAAGTTAAATGACAATCACTACCTGCAAAATGTAATGGTAAAAAAAAACTTCCAAACGCAGTATCATGGAGCCACACTTTCTCGCACACACTAGTTTCTTATCAGAGCAAAAAGTCTTATCCTTGAACATACAGGCTCTGCGCCAGTGTGATAGGACACTGAAGATAGCATCTGATAGAAGGCAATGCATTTACAAAATACTTTTCGGTAATTGAGCATGCCTATGACCAAATCCCCCACAACGTACCCGATCTCATCAGATCGAGGAAGCGAAGTGAAATTGGTGCCTGGATGGGTGACCACCGTGCAGCAAACTCTATTGTTGTACTATCCTTCTAAGTCCTCACGTCCACGCTCCCTGCATTCGCTAAACTGCACTGACTGGCAGAGTGAAGTATGGTCAAATAACCTCAATGACCCACACAGCATGGGAAGGCCCTGGTCTAGCAGTGGATTTAAAAAAATGGATGTGCATTTACATACTGTATTTGCATAATGAAGCATATACGCAAATGAGTGCCCTCATGTGTTTTTTCTCTCTTCTGAACAGTGAACTCCAGTCAAACAGCCGTCCGATTTGATTTGTACAAACCCATCCGCAACCCATCTGAAAATACTGTGGAGAGGAGTATATACAAATAAATAAAATGTATTTCTTGTTCAGCAGTGCGATAACAGTCTTGCGAGTTTGCTATGACCCCTAAGTTTACCGTGACCCTGGTTGTTTCACCAGCTGAGTCTGAAGCGAAATATGTGTCTCTGGCATGTGCCTAAGGATTATGGACACGCAGGGTGTTAATGCAGGGGGGTTGGTTGTATCTTTCAAATGAGACAAAACAGAAAGCCAGTTGTCGCCATACACCGCGCTGCATTGATGACACAAGTTTGCTTCAAGCTAAGCCCTCTGTGTGTAAAAGCCAGTGGCGGCTCCGTGGTGAGTGGACACTGCTGGGTTCAATTCCCGGCTACGGGTTCGCAGCAGTGGCAAGTGATTGCTAGGGGGGAAAAAAAACCTCGTGGTCGAAACAATCCACCATGACTGACACGGTATGAGGACGCCCTCGTCTCGCAGTGGACTGAAGAAAAGGGGGCTTTGGGTATAAACTATGAAACAAGAAGACAGAACTCCAACATCCCTATGAATCAGAAAAGTGGAAGATAAAGCATATTACTGTACTCTCTGCCTGCCCAAAGGGAGGGGTACATGTTCAGTTGTTAGCCAATCACTACATGCCACACAGCACTGGGCATACAGCACAGCAATTACATAAACACACCAAATGTACCGGTTGTACAAGTGAGATATTTGCTGCAGTCACTCTATTATAGTTTGTTTTAATGCTATGAATACCTGCATTTCGTGTTTTAACGCTGATTTAGTTAGAGGTACTGTTAACACACGTACCCTCGTAAAGCAATGTAAATACCAAGGAAAATTATCGCATTGGCGAGTGTGATCGGATAATTTGGCACAGTGGCACGATGTGCCCCGTGATGATGATGATCGGTATTACTTGTGGCAGCATTTTTAATTACCAATAGCAATTCGAGACAAAGTCCTGTATGCTTTTACCACAGGGTTTGGACGTTGATAGGAACGTTTAGAACAGGGCACGCATATTGAGTTTTGTATGTGTGTCGGTAGTCACGATTTTGCTTTAAGTCTGCGGAGTAGAGCCGATGGGGTCATAAAGCTGTTTAAGTGTATTAATGATAGATGCCAGACACGGGGGGGTCACTCTCTTAGGAGCAATGATATTTGACGTCTAACACTGCGGTATTGTGTTTTAGACATTGGTGTGATTAAAGAGACCGGGGGAGGAGTTTTGTTGTACAACAGAAGCGCATTGCTCCTTGGTAGAAGCCGAGAATATTATTCACGAAATGTTGGATCTTACGTCTTATAACCACCATAACTTGATGGCATGTAGTTAACAAGGATATTGCTAATTGTCATGTTAAAATGCGATCGGCCATGGTCAATCTACTGTTGGATTAAGGTATTTCTCAAGTCGCCACAGTATAATATTGACTTAAAGCTTTTCGTGACTGCAGGAAATCATTCTTTGGGTCTTAGTTTTTTTTTTATTTTCTTTCAACCTATCTACGTGACTTTACCGAAAGACCCAAAGAATATTATATTGATTATATTAACTAATGTTGCGTTGTTTCCTGATGACGTTCACGGTGTCATCGTGAAGTTGCAGAAAAGTTGCGAGTTGTAAAGCAAGCAGTCATCAAGTAAACAATGTATCATTCATCAACAACGTATCACAGCTTCTTTGGTTCTTTCGGTAAAGTCACGTAGAATGAGAATAAAATAATAAATTGAGAATATTATTGTGTTATTTTATTTTATCAATTTATTATTTTATTCTCATTCTACGTGACTTTACCGAAAGAACCAAAGAAGATGAATCATTGCAGTCACGAAAGCTTTAAATCGAAATTTAACGTATCACAGTTTAAGACGTAGGCTTTCGCGACCAATATTATCCATAAGATGTTTTTTTGGGGAGTTAGACCACGAAAATAAAAATGTGTCGTTAAACCCGTCACCACCCGACACGGCCAATGCGTAAGGTTTGTCACGTGAACCAAACATGCCAATTAGTTACTAGTTCAGCACACCCGGTGCGTTGGAGAATAAACCCACAATATGTATTTCTGGCTGTCACCTGATGAGGGTGGTTGCAATTGCCGGCGAAACGTCGGACTCGAATTGTAAATGTTTGTGGGTTTTACTCGCCAACACACCGGGAGTCCTGAACTGAGTACAAAGGAATTGGCACGTTTTGTTTACGTGACAACCCCTTACTAATCGTCTGTGCCGGGTGCTGATGGGTTTAGCACGACACATTTATATCTACGCGAGCTAATCCCACCCCCCACCGCAAATAAAATAAAAACCCTTTCATGAACACATCACAAACCTGTCAACCCCTTATCAGTGCCCTACCTTATTACAGACCAATTCAGACATTATTGGTCACCCCGTGGCCTTATAAATCTCAACGTTCATCCTACAAAGTCCCATCACAAGGGAAACACACACACACGAACATAAAGACACATTTTATTTTTGCCCGTATTGAAACGTCTGTACGCCGTATGGACCTGAAAAAACTCAATTTACCTGTACAAGAATAAGGGGTGAAACCGTGCAGGGTGGACAGCTATGGACCATCGCAACACTCAAACGCTGCAAAAGAGGCAATAGCACGGACGATGAAGAGGGCCATGCCAGAAAGCCACTCGACGCTAATTGAAAACTCCTCGTCGACAGCGCCACCACGACAACTTTTGGCCAAGTGGAGGGAGGGCCCTCTTAAGAAGGCAGCTGAACCACCTTCTAGGGCTTAAAGCGGGCCATTAAATTGGGTTAACGACCCTCGAATAACCACGGGGGCCTTCATTCACCTTCCACCCCCCCACACACACACTCACTTGCCCATCGCTCGTTCGAACCAAAAGTTGCCCCCAAACTTAGAGTGAGCGGGACGACGACGACGGTGGTGGTGGTGGTGTGGATGCAAATCGCTGCGACAATTAACGTCACAGCCGAACGAGCCTGTTGTTACACACATCGCATCACGAATATATCTCGTGCGTGTGTGTGCGTGACTGTGCATGTGTGTGACTACCACCGTGTATCTCGTATTCAGACTGACCTTCGTACGTCAAAAGGCATGTTGACAAAAGTCGCACACACAAAAAAAACTACCGGCTCCGCGATTTAACTCCCTACAACGACGTTTACGTAGAGAGACGACGCTGACGACGACGACGATGATGATGATGACGATGGCGACGTGTAACTTTCCAACTCTGTGTGTGTGTAACTACAAGTCTCGTCGGTGTGTAACTACAAGTCTCGTCGGGTGCGTTCACAACCCGGCGTTCCCGGCACGAGCGAGTGGATTTGCCAGTGCACATAAGGCGCTGTGCACGCTCCAAAAAAAACTCTCATTGGGCAGAGCGGGGTGTACACACACGGAGCTCCGTGCTTGCTATTCAGGGGGGGGGGGTGTGGTATGTGTTGGTGGTGGTGGGGGGTGGTTTGAGTCGGTTCGTCCAATCCCTACGCTCAGAGCTGCGGTCCTCTTGCCACTTATTCCGTGTGCGATTTGCTATTTTTTCAGCAACACCCTCCCTTCCCCCCTCTCCGCTCGTTCGCTTTGGATTGCCCTGCCTCCGCTGCAACTTGGGGTCGCTTTGGAAAGTGCTACGTTTAAAGTTGGGGTGGGGTGGGTTGACCAAGCCAAGGCAGGCCGACGTCTTCCGCGTTCACGTCAGGACGTGGTGGGTGCCGCGGCGCCACGTGGTGGTCGCCACGGCGCCACGTGTTCGCTTCCTCGTGAACACGCCGCAGTAAGAGCAGCAGCAGCAGCGAGACTGTCGGGTGATCCCTTTATAAATACCCCACTGACTTGCCGAGAAGCTTCATTTCTCGTGGAATATTTTTCAGGGGCACTCCCCCCCCCCCACCCCACTTCACCAACCCACCCCCCACAACCACCGATAATTGATTGGGGCTACGAAAAACTTTTTTTTTTCATCCAAGAGATCTGTCCCGGACAGCTCCGGCTGAAATGAAATCCTTGCTCTGAAATTGTATTTTTTTTATTCTCAACATGCGAATGAATTCAATTGTGTCAGCGATGGCTCTCCATGTTACACCAGAGGGTGCTGAGAGATGTAATAATTGCATTGAAATTGGTGGGAGACATGAAGATGCTTTGAAATAAAATATCCTCTCTGTAATGTCTCCATTTTGCGCGTTGCAATATGCGCAGCTGATGCCGAAACGTGTTGTTGTGGTGCAACTGACGACGCTGACACGGTTCTTTAGTAGGGGCTGATGCCAAGGTTTATTAAGGGCTACTGCCGGTAACTTATTAAAGGCTTACGCCTAACAGGTGACAACCCTAATATCTCCCCAGGGGAAGGGTAGTGGGAGGTCCCTAGCTCCACCCAGGCACCGACCGAGGGATCATCCAACTCGGCCGGCCGGGTGAAGTATCACTCTCGCCTGGCGCTGATTCCCCCTACCCTCGACCCCGACTCCCTAACTCTCTCCGTTCCTGGCCCTTCTCGACGACCCCCTCTACGTCACGGGTTCCCCCTTATATATGTCCCCCGTAACCTCTGACGTCATCCCTTGGCACCCCCCCCCCTGAGTGACATGACGTCATCCACTACTCCTCTACACATGCATCACAGCTTAGCCATAGTGAAGCGGAGGGATTGTTATTATTAAATGTTTCCATATACGATCAGTGCGATTGGTGAGGTGTTGTAGATGTTTTTTGCGAGCACATTTGTCCGCGCCGTTTCAGCTGCGGAGGTTGTTTGAACATACTTCACCATAGAAGACACAATGTACATGTTGGTGCCTTAAGAACTTAGACATATAGTAACCCCGCTGTAAAGAAGGGTTATTGCTCAAAATGTTACAGTATAAAGATGTTGTAAGATAGTTGATATATTGGATGATAGTTGCTGCATTATAGCAATCTCTGCCCTCTAATGAAGAAGGGTAATTTAACCAAACAAAAGGTAACTTTTTTTATTTAAAGCTTTCGTGACTACAGGGATTCATATTCTTGGTTCTTTCGGTAAAGTCACGTAGAAGGGAAACAATAAAATAATAAAAATATAAAACAATCAAATTCTCACGACGTTTCGACTGCAACACAAGCAATCATCATCACGTGTGGTTTCACACCTGATGATTGCTTGTGTTGATGATTGCTTGTGTTGCAGTCGAAACGTCGTGAGAATGTTATTGTTTTATATTTTTATTATTTTATTGTTTCCCTTCTACGTGATTTTACCGAAAGAACCAAGAATATATATTTGTATTTTACTAGGTAAGGCCCACTGAGCTATACAGCTCTTTTTCAGAAGCAACTTGGCCATAAATGATAGCTCAACGAAGTGGCGTATGTATAAATGTATAGTAGCAAAATACTATATACGCACGTTGATTCTAAATGTGAAGGGAAAAATCGGAGGACCTGGAGAAAAATCCACGCGACCACGGGGAGAACATGCAAACTCCAAATATACAGGTGTCATGGTCGGGATCGAACCCACATGCTCCTGGCAATGTAGTTAACATCTTGCCAACATGGCGCTCCTTTACCGCATTGTTAATCTATTATACTATTTTCTTTTAAAACAGAGTTATTGGTATATGGTATTTGGTCATGTTTGTTGAATATGTGATAGCCAGGAGATGGCAGTACAGAAAATGCGTTTGTGAACTCGTATTTAGGGATATTTATATGGTCTCTCTTCATATGGATTGGATGTATCCCATATATGCAACATAATTATTTTAAAAAGGAGTGGTCCCAACATATCAATGCACAACCATCCTAAAATAAGTACTGTATTTACATCGCTGAGATTTTTTCTCCAAAACATAATGACATTAATATATGCTCAAGTTCGAATGAAGTTATATTTATAACAATTTGGTGCTTGATAGTAGCTTGAGGCACACACATGTCTGCAATAAATGCAAATGGGAGGGCAACATGAGAACAAGTATGCAGTGGGTTTTTGAAACGTCTATAAGACCTATGTTCAAAATATATGAGATTTGCAAAACATCAAAGCCCCAGTTATTTTGTCTCCACTTACAAAGTTTGTATGTAAGGCTAAAGGATGACGGCCCTTAACAAAATATAAGAATAGGTTTTACCCTTTCTGGAAAGAAAACAGTTGTGCTAAGATGTTAAAACACCTAACTGAAACCTTTTGGAAGGAATCATCTCTGCATATGCCAAATATACTTGTGATGAACATGCAAACAAAAAAACATGCTCTGATAACATATGCATTTTTGAAACTGATTGGTCCACACCAGAGACAGCTTTCTTTAGAGCCTAGTCTCAAACGGTGTTAGACCAGAGGACGCCAAAAGACGAACAGCACAAAGACAATGCCACTATCAGGACATTGAGAGCTCGGGGTGAGCAGCTACATCATGGGACCTCTCATGCCAGTATCAAAATATAAGAATAAGTTTTACCCTTTCTGGCAATAAAACAGTTGTGTTAAGATGTTAAAACACCAAACTGAAACCTTTTGCAAGGAATCATGTCTGCATTAACCACATATACTTGTGGTGAACATTCAAACAAAAAACATGCTCTGATATGCATTGTCTTTTAAACTGATTGGTCCACACCAGACAATGTATATGCTATCAGAACATGTTTTTTTTGCATGTTCACCACAAGTAGTTGTTAATGCAGACATGATTCCTTGCAAAAGGTTTCAGTTTGGTGTTTTAACATCTTAACACAACTGTTTTATTCCCAGAAAGGGTAAAAACCTCTTCTTATATTTTGATACTGGCAAGGGAGGTCCGAAAATGGGGCATTAAATGCCGACGATATTTGCCTCCCCTGACCTACATTTTTATGGCGTTAAATGGTGGTGGCCATATGTGTCCTATTGTTTTTACCAGTCTCCAACATTGCTATAGCTCTTAAAAGCGGGTTTATATGTCAGGCCACGTATTTAGTGATACGTCACCCAAGTTGGAAAGCACACACGTGTCCCATTGTGTGTGTGTATATAGCAGTCCAGCAGACGTTTGTGTTTGTACAAAGCTGTACAAACGAATGCAGAGGAGGAGGTGCTATGCTATTAAACGATGCGAGGCCACCGACTGGTACTTGTGTTTGCAGAGCTGGCCGCATGCTGTCCACTGCAGTCATGCTGCGATAGTCTAACTGCTCCCCATATGGTGCACATCAGGTTTCCGCAATACCCCCCCCCCACCCCACTGGGTGTTAGGAGTTTATATGGCGCGTATAAGAACCGTAGACCCTACTTGACAAGAATGCCAGCGGAGAGGAGCAATCTCCTATCCGTTTGGGAAGTTCAGAGAGAAATGCTCTGTGGAACATCATGCAATATCGTGTTCACATCCCTATCATCTGCATTGTTATCATCGTCATCAGTGACATATTACCATCGTTATCATCACCCCACTGTCATCATCACCATCCTGTGTTGTCTTTCATTTGAATGCTCACAATCACACCACAGCCTTCATGCCTGGTGTATGCCATGACAGTATTTTGATAGTTTACAAAGGTCTTCACGTCAGTAGAGTCTCTAACATTCACATCCTTGATAACCATCTGAAATGAGTGGGATCAATCAATGCGAATAAATATTTGCTACCTTATTTGGTGCCAACTTATACTTTGGCCGACGCACTAGTGCCCTTGCCTTTCACATTCTTTCACCTTCGTCTAACCATATTTCCCTCAATCGTGCCCCCAAAATTGTAATGTCGTCTTTTGTCTAGGAGATCCTTAAAAATATCTAGTTCTGTTTAACACATCAAAGAAATATTAAATTATCTCAAACACAACTGTCGGCAGTGGCAGAACATGCTTGTCAACAAGGACACTCAATTGATTTTGATAACGTTGAAGTGTTGTGTAAAACTAATTATTACTGGCAAAGACTAATTAGAGAATCCATTGAAATTGAGAGAAATAAAAATAACTTTAATCGCTCTGACAGCTACAGGCTTAGTGCGGCCTGGAAGCGTATTATTAAATAATACATATTACAATTCCTTATAGGGGAAACACATACTAATTAACGGATTACTAACATAGCATATAATCACTAACACACATTACAACTAATTACTAATCTACAACTCATTACTAATCATTACCATTGACTGATTACTAATCGATTACATAATTACAATACCCCCCCTCCGCCTCAAATCACTGCACCTGAAATGAGTTAAATGATGACGTCACCCTGCTGCTGCTCTATTTAAGACCGGGAGCAAGCGAGGGCTTTACCATTCTGGCGAATTGCCCGATGATGCTGGATGTAATTACCAGCGAAACGTCGTACTCAAACTGTAAATGTTGTGGATTCACGCTTCAACACACCGGTGGGCTAAAGTAGTGAATTATTTGTCTTTTGTCAACGTGACACCTTTTTTTTGCTGATTGGCCGTGTCG